ACCCCGCCCTCGTTGCCCTGCTCCACCCCCCGCCCCGCCTATGCCGTAGCGTGCTTCAAAGGTATATCTTCTTTTAGCATTTGGAATTTTCTAAATGACTTTGTAGAATTTGTTGGGTAGATGACTAGCACAAAGTTGCAATTGGTTTTTTTGCTTTTGTTTGTAATTTGGTGAGTCTTTTCCTTTTTCATATGTTATAAGATAAAGGCAATTGGAAATTAGGGATGTGGGAATTGTTCGTATAACGTGGGGATTCTACCTTGGCAAGGTCTATATGATGCACATCGCCAGGGCAACTAGCACCGCAAGTGCTTATTGCATCTATCTACGAAACTCTTGATTTGGAAGGCGATAAAAAAAAAATTACAAATGAAACTTATTAATTACTTATTTTGAATCTTTATTCATTCACTGCAAATGTACAATATGTAAAATGATTTTTATTTTTTTCCTTTTCCCTTTTTCTGCTATATATCTTGATTCTTATTTGTAGAAATAATAAACCAAATATCTGTTCTTTTGTAGTCAACATAGAAAGTATACAAATGATTTAGTCTTCCGTTCGTTTTATAAATTGGGTTAAATTCTTTTTTTAGTTCATATGTATATGCTGCGTTAAAGATTATGGAAATTAAAGTGATTAATTATTGTAGTTACGAACTTTCATTCTTAATAAGGAATGTAATTCTTTCATTGCAGTCATGAATCAATTGAGAAATGCAGCAGAGGTTATATGTTTATTTGGTAAGTTGTAACATACACTCAATTAGCTTCTTTTTATTTTTTTGATGCTATATTTTCATTCTGATTTTTTACTTTTAAGAAATAAAGCAAATATATTTTTTTGGGTTAAATCCTAAATTTAAGTCCCTGAAATTTAACTTTTGAATACTTTTGGTTTCTAAACTATTTTTAGCACTTTTTTTAGTCCATCAACTCTACAAATTATATATTTTTTCCTTTCCGTCAATTAGGTTTGTGTTTGTCTCAAAATAATTGTTGTTTTTGCTTTGAATTTGTCTCAAATTAATTGTTATTTAATTTTTTAAGCTAGACATATTTTTTCTTGCTTGAATCCTATCATTATTAATTTATTTTGATTAATTATCTTATCACAAAAATTCTCTTATTTTTTAATTTTTTAAAAAATAATATAAATAAATATATAAATAATCATTAAATCTTTAATTTAAAAAAAATTCAAAAACAACAATTACTATAGGACAAAGGCCATAACTCCATTTAAATAAAAATGTATTTTCTTTAAATATTTTAATGGCTTGACAATCATACATGGACCTCTAACTTAGTTGGACAAATGAAGTGACCCTTTTTATTCCTATTTGGAATTCAGGGGACCCATTTCCCTAACCTTAGAAGGTAAATTAGTAATATCAATTATATATTGAATTGAAATTTCTGAAATAACAATTTTATCCCAAACTTACCTTCAACTCCGACTAGAAATAGAAGTCAAACCGCGCATTGCGCGGCATGTCTGTATTTTTTTAGATTTTTATTAATTATAATTT